TCATTCTTAATTTGAAAAAACGCAGTATGGCATGGAAATATTTCTATATAAACCAAATATATACCGAACGCAAAACTCATCCATTGGCCAAAGGAAATATCGAGTCGTTGGTATTAGTCATATGGCGTGTTTTATTTTGTCCTCATTCCGGATTCTATTTTATTCGTCTATTTTGTTAATGCTATTTTCGAGTTCTTCAAATGAAAGTTGGGCTTCGCAAGTTCAGTTCCATACAATGGAGGACATTACGTCCCAGCTCTCGGCTACGGAGTGCAGTCCGAATATCCCTCTTGGTATCTTATATCTTTCTTCATATTTAGTCATTGATTGGATATTTTATTTATCTTTATTATGCATATATGAATAAATATTGAATTCATGAATGAATGTGCAGGTATGAAGAATAGGCAATCATCAGCAGTAATGGAAGTCGTCCACAGGCACGGTCCATGTGCTGACGAGAGTAATGAAAGAAAAGCTATATTATCCCGACCCAGCGCAGCCGACATCCTTCGCAACGATCATTTAAGGGTGCAATCCATCAACAATCGTGGTGGTGATGTTCGCTCTCCCCTCATCTCTGGCGATTCCCTAGACGCGGGCAACTACATCGTCACCATGGGCCTCGGCACGCCAGAACAAAAGCAATTCCTCATTTTAGACACCGGCAGCGGCGTGACGTGGGCTCAATGCAAACCGTGCCATTTGGGAGAATGCTATAGTCAGAAAGGCCCATTATTCGACCCTAGCAATTCATCTTCCTTCTCCTTCATCCCATGCAATTCTAGTGATTGCTCTCTCGTGCCTCACGGGGACTATCAAGACTGCTCCTCATCCGACAAATGCATCTACTCCGTCACATATGGTGATGGCTCCACTACCACTGGCTACTTAAGCATAGACACACTCACAGTCTCACCAAACGTGGCAGTACCAGATTTCCTGTTTGGCTGTAGCGAAGAGGCTGGGGGCCTTTTCGGACGTGTATCTGGACTTCTGGGCTTGGACAGAGGAAACGTGTCCCTAGTTTCCCAAACTGCTGATATATTTCATGAATGTTTCTCCTACTGCTTACCTTCCAACACATCCTCCAAAGGCTTCCTGGCATTGGGAAAAGATTACGATGATGCCACCCAATTCACGCCATTGATTTTCAAACCGGAACACCCATCGTTCTACTACATCGACATAACCTCCATAGCCGTGGAAGGAAGCGACTTACCCATCGGTCCAGATGCTTTTACGGGCAGCGTTATCATAGACTCGGGCACAGTGATCTCCCGTCTCCCGTCGAATGTATACAGTTCGTTGAGCAACAAAATTACGGAGGTGATGACCAAAAAGTACAACTACAGCACTGCACCACCAGTTGAGATACTGGACACTTGTTTTTTTCGCAAGGAAAAAGATGTTGCTCCATCTATGTCCTTCACCTTTCAGAAAAACGTGCAAATTCATTTGGATGCCTCCGGAATATTTTATGTTGTCGACAAATCGGTAATGTGCCTTGCTTTTGCCGGGAATACAGACATTGTCGATTTCATCATTTTTGGCAACTCGCAGCAAAAGACATTCGAGGTCGTGTACGATGTTGCCAACAACAAATTAGGGTTCCGCCCAGGCATGTGTGCTTGACTGCTTTCACTGCATTCCAAATATGCTACTCATCTCACCTCTCACTCTTCTTAAGGGGTCATTTGTTTTATTTGCAAACCATAATGTGTCATCACTTATGTCCTCATTTTTTTTTTTTCCTTTTTAATGTCGGTTTATCTGCAAGAATAAACGTTTAGTCATATTAAGTTGTTTACTATTTTATTTCTTTAATTACCGCAGCTTGAAATCTATATCTATCTATCTATATAAAAAAAGACGAATTGAATAATTTTGTAAAAAATTACACGGACTAGAAAATCTTATATATATTTGATATATTTTAGTAACAAAATAATTTAACTTTTAAAAAAAATACTACACTACCAACATAGTGTACAACTAGATTTACAACACAAGTGAAAGTATACACTTATGTATTTTTTTTTTTTTTACTTTTTTGAATGTTTTTATTTGTGTTGTCAACCTAGTTGTATACTAGGTCGGCAATGTAGCATTACCCTAAAAAATAAAGAATCAATTTAAATAACGAATTAAATCTTCAATAGAAGTTCGATAGAGTTGAACATCTATTGGTATATCATTCAATATGTTTACTTCAATTGCACATAATACATAACACCACATAATTCAAACAAAAAAAGGAGATAATATTGAGTGGATCGGAAATTCGAATACGCAATGCGGACATTTGTTAACTATCTTTTATTACTAATACATTTACGCTCATCCTATAATTAATATTTTTTTTTTTTTTTTT